TGGTATATGTATATAATTCTTAAGGAATTTCTATGTGGTCCATAGGGACATATTATATGGCACTATGGTGCAATTCTATGTGGCACTTTGGTGCATTTCTACGCGGTCATTCGGGACAAATTCTATGTGGCACTTCGGTGTAAATTTATACGAGCTGTGGTGACAGCATAGTGTACAACCTCACAGTACTCACATACCTCAGGTTCTCGGTATTGTATCATAGGATATTGAACCTACTGAACTTATTATATGAATTCATGATGGTTAATTTGATGAAATTATTGGTAAGATACATTGTTATGCATATTACATAGATAGCTTAGATGAATTCATTACATTTCATCTTATTATGGCATCATTATTATATTTCATTGTTATTATTATTATGCCTCACTAAGTCAATGACTTAGCGTGTAAGTGTTTTACACGTAGGTACCGAAAAGCAGAGAGATCCATTATAAGCTCAGTAGAACAACATAACTCCACTTAAAGGTCAGATCAGAAGTAGATTAAATTGTATGTATTGTTATGGGTTAAATAGATTGACATGTAAACAAAGTCGATAAATTAAGTATTTATGCTCTGATCGAGTTTTGTAATGTTTTAAACGTATTTATGTAAATATAAATGCATAGTAATGAACGGTTAAATTTTTACGAGTTTTATGTATATTTTACGAAAAATCACTGTAGCAGTGCATCGATGCACAATTTGCATTCGAAATTTTTGTGCATCGGTGCACTGTAGTAATGCATCGATACACTGTAGCACTATTCACTGTACTGTTCATACCATATTTTATTGTTCATAAAATGTATATTTTCTTAAATTAGTTATAACGAACATAATTAAATAGTATATTATCGTATTTCCTTAATATGAATTCAAATGTTTTGTTATTTTGCCAGAAAAGTGTTTTAAAAAGTAAATGTGACATCTCGGATTCGTATCCTGGTCGGGTACTGGTTAGGGGTGTTATATTTAATGGTATCAGAGCTAAGGTTTAGTCGATTCTCGGCATAAATCGAAGTCTATAGTGTTTTATAATGTATACATGTCAACAAAATAATGAAAACTTATGATCTGGTGTAGTATGGAGTATGTTGTTTTGCTAATAGAATGATATGTTTACTCTTAATAGATGTCCGGACATGATAGTTCTAGAAGTGAAGCTGGAGATGATCGGCCCGCTGAAAGCAGTAAATGTAGCAAGGGAGTTGAGAGGATTAGGAGCTCCCAAATTTAAGGGAGAAACAGAGAAAGGTCTGGTTACAGCGGATCATTGGTTAAATGATTTGAAAATCATGTTAGATGGTCTCCACTTTTCTGATGTGGAGAAGTTGGATGCAGCTGTGTCTTTACCTAGAGGACAAGCTAGAATATGGTGGACGAATGTCACCATGAGGATGTCAAGTGATCAAGTAACTTGGTCTCTATTTTTGGAAGAGTTTTCTAACACCCCAACCCGTACCCGACACGGATACGAGTCCGAGATTTCACATTAACTTTTAAAAACGATAATCTTACAAAATATCAAAACATTTGAACTTATATTAAGAAAATACGATCATATATTGTTCAATTGTGTTTGTTATAAAATTTTGAGGTAAAAACATATTTATGAACAGTAAAATATGGTATGAACAGTACCGTGAACAGTAATGAACAATGCCGTGAATAGTGATTGCTATAGTACCCCCGAATGTTAAAATTTTCCATATTATAATAGGGGAATCAATTCCCCTGCTACAGGGAACCGATACCCTGCTACAATATTGCTATAGTACTGCTACAATACTTCCGTAAAATACGTATAAATTCATAAAAATCTAAGGATTCATCCGTATAAAATTACCATTTACATATACACATTTAAAACATTACAAAACTCAAGCATATCAATTTACAAAACCGATTAAAACATATCGGATTCAAATCTTTGTTTACATGCCAACCACTACAAGTATTACAAAATACATACTATTAACTTCTTTTATGATCTGATCTTTGGAAAGGAGGAACTGACATGTATTGCTTAACTTTTTCCATTCTTACTCTTCTCGGAACCTACGCGTGAAACAATCACACGCTAAGTCGATGACTTAGTGAGCCATATAAAACATATATTATAACCATATACCATTTCATATAAACAAAAGACATACATCTGCAAATACTATCATTAATTCCTTTTACTTACCATATATTCATCATATAACACATATATCACTATACCATGGAAATACACATAGCATCCTATAATTCATGCAAAACATTTCATATGCATCTTATATATTGTATTTGTTATTGTCTCTTTATTAGCCCATGGTACACTTGTGAGAACTGAAGGTATGTGAGTACATTGAGGTTGTGCACTAATGCTGTCACCACAGCTCATATAAATTCCCACTAGGGGCACTGAATATTTGTCCCGAAGGACCGCGTAGAAATGTCCTAAAGGACCACATATCACATATGTCTCGAAGGACCACTCCTTAAGAAACATATACATAATACAATGGACCAAATAAGTGTACCGAAGTACTACATACATGTTCCACGGAATTACATATATGTCCTGAAGGACCACGTAGAATTGTCCCGAAGGACCGCGTGGACCCTCTACTCTTGGCATGCCAACTATACCTATAGCTCTCGTATTATATAACATGGGCATTTTTCTTTTGCTTCATATATTCATGTACTCATATCCTTGCTCATATGATCACATGTGCATATAATCACGTAGTTTACTTTCATGTAATTCATGTCACTTTTCATATGAATTCATATTCATATGTCACATAGCTCTTATCACTTTGCATATATTCACATAAACATATATATCATTTGATTCATGTCTTATTCTTATATCATCATATATATATCATATATGTTTCATCACTTAATATTATATCATATAACATGCTCTATCCTCATATGTTCACATGACATATAATGCATACAAATTATATTCACATATGCCTTTACTCATGAATTCATACATCATACAAATCATGTCATCACTTGTTCTCATATGTTTCCAATACATCACATATATCACTCATATAATCAAGCATACATACCTTTCATGTCATTCATTTCATTCTTTGTATCCTTATCAAATAGCTTATTTTATTTCTCATATTTTTTTAAGCACCTATGTCATGTCTTTTTTACTTATGTTCATATATATATAATCATGTCACATACCCTAACCTTTTAAGAGTTACTTCTTACCATAGTAACTCCATCTTTGGCTCATCACAAGCCAATGTTTGTTCAAGAACCTAAGTACAAAATAAATTGCACTCACCTTAGCCTTGCTTTGATTCGATCCTAATTCTTTGATTGTTCTAGAACTTGTTTAGGCTTAATATCTACATAAATATAACATTTCAAAACAATTATCAGAAGCCTAAACCTTAAACTTGATGTTAATAACTTACGTCAGTTTAATGAACCAAAATTCCATTTTTTTTCTTTAGGGGGAATCGATACCCCCCAGGGGGAATCTGTACCCCCTGCATAATCTGGAATTTTTCGTTCAAGCCTAGAAAATCACCGTTCATGCACGAAAATTCACTATATCAACTTAAATTCTTCATATTTCATTCCCTTTCATATTCTTAACTCAAATATACCTAAACTAATTTCTACTTATTTATCTCATCTTAAACCTCAAAATCTTCTCCTCTTTATGAACTTCAATAATCATACCAAATATTCAATATACTCTAAATTCAATTCTATCACTTCATATATCTTAATTAAGCTAATGACAAGTCGAATTTAACTTCAAATTCAACTTATCAACTCTTTTACAGAAATTCATTTAAAAACTCATTCACTTAAATCTTTCATAACTTCTTTATCTTTTGATTATAGGATAACTTAAGCCTTCCTTAAGCTTAGTTATCATCTAATGATCAAAACCCAACCTTTAATTCAACAAAATAGAAAACTAACCTTTGCCTTGGAGCCTTCACAGGAGGAAGAAGATGAAGAAGGGAGAAGAGTTTGTAGATAACTCTTCCCCACCCCACGTGAATCATTCATATAAAGGGGGAAAATATCTTTCTTGCCAAATGACCATTTTCCCTTTAATTCCTTTGATAATTACGAATAACTTTCAGGAAATATCTCCACATAAATCATTAAACTATTTAATTATTCTACTTTTATCACCAAATTCTGAAATTTTACAATTTAGTCACTAACCCGTAGTTTAGAATGTTACAAATCTCCCCTCCTTTTAAGAAAATTCGTCCTCGAATTTTCATTGCACCTCTTGATAAGAACATATATTCTAATGTTCTCATGTTATTTCCCTTACTTAATCTTTCATTCCTTTTGTTATTCAATTAACTTTTTTGGTTATTCATTCATCTACTGTCGTTTATCATATAAACGATATCCAGTAATCTCATCCATTTCTATCTTTTCTCTCCTTCGATTCTGCATTTTCCTTTGATCTTTCTAAAATTCATATGATGTTACTCATCACGTAGATAGTAACATCCATTTTTATTTTTTTTATTCCATTATTTCTTTAAAATCAAAATCTCCTTATACATAGGTCATATCTTTTAATTCATGTTCACATACTCTTTTCCTATTACTTATATTCATCTCTAATTACCGATCTTTATCACATCTTTATAACTTTGATAAGCATCTTCACTTATATAGAACCTCATTCTTTACCATCTCTTGTACTTGGTATTTTTTTTCTCAAAGCTCCCTTTAAAACCTGTAAATACTTTTCTCATTGCCTTCATCGTATCTATATGATCCAAATACCTAACCATATTCAAATCCATATCATACTTTATTAACTCACTTTATCTTTTCTTCCAATCTTATAACGCTATCACATTTACTATTACAATTAGCCAATAGCAACTCTTCAATCTAGAACACAAGCTCTGATTAATTAATCATATACACCCTTTCCAAATCAGAATTATCTCAACAATAGTTTACTTAACTTATCAAATCTACATTCATTCTCATACACCATGAAATTTTCTTTGTTCACTCTCAACATTTCAACGTCTTCCATCTTATAAAATAATCACCGACATACTTATTTCTTAAACTTTTTCATAAACAATATTCACATCAATTAATCTTCCTTTATTCTCATTATAACATTTGTTTAACATATTTTAGCTCAACCGCATAGCAACTAAATTATTTCATCTAACTTTTCCACTTTAGAATAGTGAAGATCCTTTAACATTATTCGGTTGCACATTCAATTTTCTGAACATAATCCTTATCTTTTTAATCTAGGGTACAACTCTTATCAACTTGATCATATACATTCTTTTCCATCGAATTTTTCCTCAACGGTATCTTACTCAACTTTTCAAACTCAGACTCTTACTCATACACAATATTATTCCTCTGTTTCAAAATCAAATGTTATAACTTCCTTTATCTTATAAATTATTCACCGACATAATCATTCTCAAACTTTTCTATTACTCTTTATCTTCTCTTGAACATTCAAATCCTTATCTCCTTCACTACATCACATTACATAATTAAAATATACATTGTATTCGAATCCACTTCATATTTGGTTATCATAACCTGACAATATCTTATAATTCTCATACATTTCTATCACATAATTTTGTTAGCCATTGCTAAGTATTTTCTATTTATAATGCAAATCCCTTATCATATCCACACTCTTGCTTATACTCAATACTCTTTACACGTCTACTATTCCTTTTTACATATCACCTCTTCAATAAATCTTTCGTGATATCATAAACTTCACTTCATTACTTTAATTTTTTCATTACCTTTTTCCCTTATGCTTTTACATTCCTTTCATATCATTTATATTTTTCCTTCTTTATCCTTTTTAACTTTTCAATCAAAACATAAACCTTCATCAAACTATCCATATATATATATATATATATATATATTATTTCCAGTCAAAATAATTCATCATCTATTTCCTTTACTTATATTTCACATAATTATCCTTAACTATTTCTCCTTATCACACTTTTATGACTTCGATAGTCAACTTTACTTGCACATAACCTTATTCTTTATCATTCTTATACTTGTGTTTTCTCCACTTGTTTCAACAATTACCAGATCTCAATACTCATCTCATCCCTTTAAAATAATTTTCCTAATTCAATTTTCATAACTTCTAACAGAGCTTTTAACCCAATTCACAAAGGTTGTCTTTAACCCTGACTTATTATCAATTAACTCCTTGTTTAATCTTTCAAGATCAAACCCTACTGCTTGAGTCTATCGGACTCTTATCTGATTTGATTCTCTGGCAGAGAATACAACTAATTCATATCTGGTTTAAAGTTGAAAACCAGAATCTCTATCTTTCTTTGATGGTGCTTAACTCTATTAAGCACTAATTCTCTTAATCATCTGTGATTTTTTTTCCAATCCTTTTATTTTGAACTTTCTCAAGAACTTTAACGTGATTAACCATTTCTTGAAATGAGAACAACTTCAAAACCATTTCATGAACAATAATTGCTACAGTACCATCGAATGTTAAAATTTTCCAGATTATAATAGGGGAATCGATTCCCCTGCTACAGGGAACCGATACCCTGCTACAATACTGCTATAGTACTGCTACAATACTTCCGTAAAATATGTATAAATTCATAAAAATCCAAGGATTCATCCGTGTAAAATTACCATTTACATATATACATTTAAAATATTACAAAACTCAAACATATGAATTTAAAAAACCGATTAAAACATATCGGATTCAAATCTTTGTTTACATGCCAACCACTACAAGTATTACAAAATACATACTATTAACTTTTTTATGATCTGATCTTTGGAAAGAAGGAACTGACATGTCTTGCTTAACTTTTATCATTCTTCCTCTTCTCGGAACCTACGCGTGAAATAATCACACGCTAAGTCGATGACTTAGTGAGGCATATAAAACATATATTATAACCATATACCATCTCATATAAACAAAAGGCATACATCTGGAAATATTATCATTAATTCCTTTTACTTACCATATATTCATCATATAACACATATATCACTATACAAAGAAAATACACATAGCATCCTATAATTCATGCAATACATTTCATATCATCACAAGCATATGCATCTTATATATTGTATTTATTATTGTCTCTTTATTGGCTCATGGTACACTGGTGAGAATTGAAGGTATGTGAGTACATTGAGGTTGTGCACTAATGCTGTCACCACAGCTCATATAAATTCCCATTAGGGGCACTGAATATTTGTCCCGAATGACCGCGTAGAAATGTCCCGAAGGACCACTTATCACATATGTCCCGAAGGGCCACTCCTTCAAAACCATATACATAATACAATGGACCAAATAAGTGTACCGAAGTACCACATACATGTTCCACAGAATTACATATATATGTCCCGAAGGACAACGTAGAATTATCCCGAAGGACCGCGTAGACCCTCTACTCTTGGCATGCCAACTATACCTGTAGCTCTCGTATTATATAACATGGGCATTTTTCTTTTGCTTCATATATTCATGTACTAATATCATTGCTCATATGATCACATATCACATGTTCATATAATCACGTAGTTTACTTTCATGTAATTCATGTCACTTTTCATATGAATTCATATTCATATGTCACATAGCTCGTATCACTTTACATAGATTCACATAAACATATATATCATTTTATTCATGTTTTATTCTTATATCATCATATATATATCATCTATGTTTCATCACTTAATCTCATATCATATAACATGCTCTATCCTCTTATGTTCACATGACATATAATGCATACAAATTATATTCACATATGCCTTTACTCATGAATTCATACATCATACAAATCATGTCATCTCTTATTCTCATATGTTTCCAATACATCACATATATCACTCATATATTCAAGCATACATACCTTTCATATCATTCATTTCATTCTTTGTATCCTTATCACATAGCTTATTTTATTTCTCATGTTCTTATTTAAGCACCTATGTCATGTCTTGTTTACTTATGTTCATATATATATAATCATCTAAATCATGTCACATACCCTAACCTTTTAAGAGTTACTTCTTACCATAGTAACTTCATCATTGGCTCATCGCAAGCCAATGTTTGTTTAAGAACCTAAGTACAAAATAAATTGCACTCACCTTAGCCTTACTTTGATTCGATCCTAATTCTTTGATTGTTCCGGAACTTGTTTAGGCTTAATATATACATAAAAATATAACATTTCAAAACAATTATCAGAAGCCTAAACCTTAAACTTGATGTTAATAACTTACGTCAGTTTAATGAACCTAAATTTCATTTTTTTTCTTTAGGGGGAATTGATACCCCCCAGGGGGAATCTGTACCCCCTACATAATCTGGAATTTTCGTTCAAGCCCAGAAAATCATTGTTCATGCACGAAAATTCACTATATCAACTTAAATTCTTCATGTTTCATTCTCTTTCATATTCTTAACTCAAATATACTTAAAATAATTTCTACTCATTTATCTCATCTTAAACCTCAAAATCTTCTCCTCTTTATGAACTTCAATAATCATACCAAATATTCAATATACTCTAAATTCAATTATATCACTTCATATCTCTTAATTAAGCTAATGACAAGTTGAATTTAACTTCAAATTCAACTTAACTCTTTCACAGAAATTCATTTAAAAACTCCTTCACTTAAATCTTTCATAACTTTTTTATCTTTTGATTATAGGATAACTTAAGCTTTCCTTAAGCTTAGTTATCATCTAATGATCAAAACCCAACCTTTAATTCAACAAAATAGAAAACTCACATTTTGCCTTGGAGCCTTCACGGGAGGAAGAAGATGAAGAAATATGAAGAGTTTGTAGACAACTCTTCCCCACCCCACGTGAATCATTCATATAAATGGGGAAAATATCTTTCTTGCCAAATGACCATTTTGCCCTTTAATTCCTTTGATAATTACTAATAACTTTTAGGAAATATCTCCACATAAATCATTAAACTATTTAATTATTCTACTTTTATCGCCAAATTCTAAAAATTTATAATTTAGTCACTAACCCATAGTTTGAGATGTTACATATATTCGTCCTCGAATTTTCATTGCACCTCTTGATAAGAACATATCTTCTAATGTTCTCATGTTATTTCCCTTACTTAATCTTTCATTCTTTTTGTTATTCAATTAACTTTTTTCGTTATTCATTCTTCTAATGTCGTTTATTATATAAACGATAACCAGTAATCTCATCCATTTCTATCTTTTCTCTCATTTGATTCTGCATTTTCCTTTGATCTTTCTAAAATTCATATGATGTTACTCATCACGTAGACAGTAACATCCATTTTCAATTTTTTTTATTCCATTATTTCTTCAAAATCAAAATCTCCTTATACATAGGTCATATCTTTTAATTCATGTTCACATACTCTTTTCCTATCACTTATATTCACAATGTCAGTATTGTGGGAAGAATCATTTTGGAACCTGTCGAATGGCTTATGGAGTCTGTTTTCGATGCGGAGATGCCAGACATTTTATTCGGAATTGCCCATTAATGGTGGGTGAGTCTGCACCATCTGAAAGAAATATTTCCGTCTCACAACGAGGACGAGGAATATGTAAAGGGAGGAATCAATCTAAATCCTCTGTATAACCTGAAATTCACTCCACTGCACGGGTATACAATTTAAAGACAAGTGAATACCGTGATGATCCCGATATTATAGCAGGTACTTTCCAACTGTATGATAAATTAGTATTGGTGTTGATTGATCCGGGTACCAATTATTCTTATATTAGTAGTAAATTAGTAAAAGAATTGAGAATGCCATTAGAAGCTACGAGTAATGAGGTGATAGTAACTAACCCTTTAGGGCACAATGCTCGGGTAAATAAAGTTTGTAAGGGATGTCCCATAAGGATTCAGGGAATTGAATTTTCTGTCAATCTGATGGAACTACCTTTTGATGAGTTTGAAGTAATTCTGGGAATGGATTGGTTATTTCGTTATTATGTGAATGTGGATTGTAGATTGAAAAATATAACCCTAAAGAGTCTATAAGGGATAAAAGTAAATTTAATAAGTGAAAGAACGAATCCTTTAACAAATGTAATATCGACAATGTCTGTAAAGAAGTTGATGCTACAAGGATGTTAGGGTTTTCTTGCAAATGTAGTAGATACAAGAGTTAAAGAGAAATGGTTAGATAAGATTCTGATAGTCAGAGAATTTCCTGATGTGTTCCCTACTGAGTTACCAGGATTACCTCCAGATAGAGAGGTAGAATTTCAAATTGAAGTAATACCGGGAACAGCTCCTATTGTCATGGCACCTTATCGTATGGCTCCGAAAGAATTGCAAGAATTGAAGAAGCAATTGCAAGAGTTGCTAGAGAAATGATTTATTCGACCAAGTGTGTCGCCCTAGGGAGCTCCAGTGTTATTTGTTAAGAAGAAAGATGGTTCGATGCATCTTTGTATTGACTATCGACAACTCAATAAGGTGACAATCAAGAACAAGTATCCCCTTCCTAGAATTGATGACTTATTCGATCAGTTAAAAGGAGCTTCAGTATTTTCGAAGATTGACTTACGTTTTGGTTATCATCAATTGAAGATTCAAGAGAAAGACATTCCGAAGTCAGCTTTTAGAACGAGATATGGTCACTATGAGTTTACTGTAATGCCATTTGGAGTGACGAATGCACCTGCTGTTTTCATGGACCTCATGAATAGGATTTTTTAGCCCTATTTGGACCAGCTTTTTGTTGTATTTATTGATGACATATTGGTGTACTTGA